TTGCAAGGTTTCGGGAGGTTCTGGGGATCTGTGGGGGATTTTGGGGGGTCCCAGCAGCGCTGGGGGAGGGTCTGGGAGTCTTTAGGGTCTGGGGGTTCATGGCTGTGCCCCCCCAGCCCCCCAAAGGGGACAAACTGGGGATGCAGGTGCCCAAGATTTTCGGGGGGAGCCGCGGCCCCGGCACCACCCTACAGGTGAGAGGGGGTGGGGACCCCAAAAAATGGGTGGAGACCCCAAATCCCGGCCCCACAAATGGGTGGGGACCCCAAATGCCAGCCCCACAAATGGGAGAGGACCCCAAAAATGGATGGAAACCCCAAAAAATGGGTGGGGACCCCAAATCCCAGCCCCATAAATGGGAGAGGACCCCAAAAAATGGGTGGAGACCCCAAAAAATGGATGGAAAACCCAAAAAATGGGTGGAGACTCCAAATCCCGGCCCCACGAGACCCCAAATCCCGGCCCCATAAATGGGTGGGGACCCCAAAAAATGGGTGGAGAGCCCCAAATCCCGGCCCCATAAATGGGTGGGGACCCCAAAAAATGGGTGGAGACCCCAAAAAATGGATGGAAACCCCAAAAAATGGGTGGGGACCCCAAAAAATGGGTGGAGACCCCAAATGCCAGCCCCACAAATGGGAGGGGACCCCAAAAAATGGGTGGAGACCCTAAAAAATGGGTGTGGACCCCAAATCCTGGCCCCATAAATGGGAGGGGACCCTCATAAATGGGTGGGGACCCCAAAAAATGGGTGTGGACCCCAAATCCCGGCCCCATAAATGGGTGGAGACACCAAAAAATGGGTGGAGACCCCAAATCTTGGCCCCATAAATGGGAGAGGACCCCAAAAAATGGGTGGAGACCCAAAAAAATGGGTGGGGACCCCAACTTCTGGCCCCATAAAAGGGAGGGGACTCCCCACAAATGGACGGGGACCCCAAATCTCAGCCCCACAAGGGCCGGGTTTGGGGTGACCCCAAATGTCCCCCCAGACGTCCCCCCTGGACTTGGCCATGTTGGCCCCCTACATCCCCATGGACGGCGAYTTCCAACTGGGCGGGGCCGAGCCGCAGAGGGGGCGTGGCCTCCGCCCTCCAGGCCCCGCCCCAAAGRCCGAGACCCCGCCCCCTCGCCCCCGCGCCCGCAGTTTCCCGGGTCGAGGCCCCGCCCCCTCCCGGCCTGGCCCCGCCCTCCCGCGCTGGGGCAGCGACCCCGCCCTCGGCCACGCCCTCCGGCCACGCCCTGCGAGGAAGAGGTGGGCGTGGCTTGAGTTGATGAGTGATGGGGGCGTGCCTGGGGGCGTGGCTTTGGGGTGTGGGCGTGGTCTGATTTTGGGTGTGGCCGGAAAGGGGCGCGTCTGAGAATATGGATGTGGGCGTGGTCCTGAAGGGGCGTGGCTTGAAATACCGCAGAGGGGCGTGGCCAGCAGGGTGTAAAGGGTGTGGTTGTGGGTGGGGCACGGAGGGGGCGTGGTCAGGTTTATTGTGGGGGCGTGGTTATGG